CTTACAAAGCGAGAAAAATTCAGCAACAACTCTAAGCTGCTGCAGTGCAATTTTTGAGGCACAAAAAAACAATTGCGCCTTCGTTTCTAGTTATAACATTATATATTGCGAAGAGGGAAGCGCGAGTCAGGAGACAGGGCATTTGCATATCACATGGGACCGTAGAGCAACTGGGCAAGATGAAAGGGGTTTAGCCGGCAGCTTCGTTTCCTTGCTATTAACAGCTTGTTCCTTTTGCAACAAAACAGTCCTAATTTGTGTTTGATCTCGAAGCTTATTATTTACATTTTTTAGTAATATTTTGAGAGAGAAATCAGTGCAGAGTATTACCGGATGGTTACCGGGGACAGGCAGGAGTCGGATAGTGCTAATTAATGCGTTTACTGTCTCTGAATGCTAAATACAGCTTGCTGGACAATCAGATGTGTGCAGTAATTGCTCCGACGCGCCATTCACACTAGTTGCTTGTGGGCAGCATTTTTGGCAAATTCCCATGTGAAGTGCTTGTTGAACTGCAGAAAGCACTAAGAATACCAAATTCGCCCGGAGAACCGATGCGGGGGGCCTCATGTCAGTGGTGTGGTAGGGATCTTTTTGCAAGCCGGGTACGGCTATGAGAAAGACGGATATGAAACGCAAAAAATGATTTTTGAAAATAAAACTTTTTTTTTACAATTTAATTGACATTCTTTTAAAAACTGTCAAATTTTTGTTCTTGTTCATCTTCACGGCGATGTGATGGTGAAGTTGCGTGTGGGAAATTCGCTGCGCCATGTTTTTTTGATGATCCGTTTACTTTGATCGGCACGTGCTCCATTATCGCATATTCTCTAGATGTCAGAAAATTGAGGATGCATCTCGACGTGTCATCATCGCCGTTTCGTGCCCTTATTGCTTTTTTTATTTTCAGTGTTTGGCATGGTAATTACAGTTGGTCAAGCAATTGTTTATGTAGCTTCTGGTTTGTACGGCGATCCAACGGAGATAGGTGCAGGCATTTGTCTTCTCATTGTTATACAGTTAGTTGTCGCTGGCCTTATTGTCCTGCTCCTCGATGAATTGTTGCAGGTATCCAGGCATTTAAGCTTCTTTTTTTGTCTGTGAATCGTACCTCTTTTTTGCAGTTATTGACGTGTTTTTCTCGTAATTGCATAAGATTGGGCCATTCATTTCCCAGCTTTGAGTGGAATGCATAAAACAGCTATCGGCTCCATCTGTACAGCCGCCAGCGACTACAGTCTCCCGCATCCACACCACTTGATACATTCGAAGTTTTGGGTCAGCGTTTGGTAGCAGTAGTGACTGTTCTTTGACATGTTTTGTCCATTTGTTGTCTGTCATCCTTGCAAAATGACTATCCTAGCTGCTTTTCCTAGCATAAATTCCTTTATGTCTCTAACAACAGAATTTGGCCGCAGCTTTATCGTTGGTTATGTGTAGCAGTTGACTTCTTTGCCTGTTCTGTGAGGATGGCTTTCATTAGTGGAAGCAGTGCTGGTATTTGAAAAATTTTGCCTTTTTTCGAGATTTTGCACGTTCGAGAGGGTTTTAAGAAGCCTAATGAATGCGGTCCATCCTGTTCTTCTACTCAGCCTAGCATTTATACCGTTTGTCTCGAGTAGACACACGCGTCTTATAAGTTTTATGGAGGTGCCACTTCATTGGAACTCAGTGATTTCTTTTTTATTTTGTCCCTCCAACTTGCTTATAGTGCACCTCAAAAACCGCCAGCCGATAATTTTTCTTCCCGGGAATTAGAGTACTAAGCGCACGCTGTGTCCTTTTGGGTAGTTCTGTTGATGTGGTACAAGTGCATATAAAAATTGCTGTTGGCGAGAAAATTCAAGCGACCCGCCGTTGAAGCCAGCCGATGGATCGGCAAAGTGGAACTGCGCATATTCTCAAAAAAAAAAAAGTCAAATTACAGTTATTATAACGAGTTTTTGATTTGTTTTAGCTTATAGGTGGAATAAAATTGGCTTTCTGGTTCATCAAGGCCTAAGGTTAAGAATTGCAGTGAGCGGTAAATTAAAAAAGAAAAACTACAATTCATTCACCCCTTTCTCCTTTTCTGCTGAAGACCTATTCAAACACCGTTTGATCTGTTATATGTCATCCTCTGGGTTGATAGTGAGAAGTGCGCGAACCGGTGGCTGTACATGCTAAAAGTGCTTGTGATCTTTTTCACATATTAAATGTATGTTTGTTGATTTGTTGAGTTTCAGAAAGGCTATGGACTGGGTTCGGGGATCTCCTTATTCATTGCAACAAACATTTGCGAGACAATTGTTTGGAAAGCGTTTTCACCGGCCACACTGAACACTGGCCGTGGTACCGAATTCGAAGGTGCCATAATTGCACTCTTTCATTTGCTTGCCACTCGTAACGACAAAATTCGTGCTTTGCGTGAAGCATTCTATCGGCCAAATTTGCCGAATTTGATGAATCTAATGGCTACAGTACTTGTGTTTGCCGTTGTGATTTATTTCCAGGTACAATCCATTTTGCTTTTTCATTCATTTTTTTTTTTTTTTTGCAAAAAGGCGCGTTGTATTGAAGCAGCATTCCAAAATTCCAGTTTTTCAACTTATCCGATTCTCGAAGTAGAACATTTCCCGCCACTACAACCAAGTTTCCGTAACTTGAGACCTAGGCATACGTGGAAGCTTGAGTTTGACTTTGTGATATTGCGCATAGGCAGGAAACATCCCGCTGAAGTTTGGCTTCCTAGCTTTTATGATTCGTAAGTTAGAAATTTTTGGGCTAAAACTTTCACAGGGTCGTACGTGAAAATTAGGCACACATGAAGGCAGGATTTCTTGGAGTCGCATGTTGGCAGAGTACGTACTGCCAGTATTTTAGCTTCCTAGCTTTGCTGGTTCTTGGAGTTGGAACTCTGGGGCACAAATGCACTCGTCGTCTTCACAATGTGCGTTTTGTGCTGTAACATTTGCTTCATTAACGTGGCTTCAGTCGATAGCTTTTGATTCTTGTTGCTTCCCAGTTTGATTTCGTTTTGTTTACCAATAATCTTTTGAGAGGGTTAAATCGTTCAGCTACGCTCATGTTGTGTTGACGGATGTGACTCGATGGCAGAGCCGGTGCTGCTTTTCTGGTGAAGGTTGAGAACAGTAGCGCTGCATCTGTGCTGAAGGTCGGTACATCTGTCGACTCAGAGCATAGAGGCAGCGCTACGGTAGGCTGTTTGATAAAAAGCAAATTTCGGCTGCGCTGAATTTCTTTCTGGATAAAATCGGCTTTTTTCTCAATACCATATTTCTCGTGTTGCAGGGTTTCCGAGTTGATTTACCAATTAAAAGTGCACGATATCGTGGACAGTACAGTTCTTATCCAATCAAACTGTTCTATACGTCCAACATTCCCATAATCCTCCAGTCAGCCCTCGTATCCAATCTGTATGTGATCTCACAGGTTAGCTTTTTGAGCAGTTTATTTCTTGTTAAATCATGCTTTCTTTATACAAAGTATGTATGTATGTAAAATTGTGTATACCTTTAAGACGGTGGGTTTCAAACGTTCGTGAGCATTTTCAAAGCCCATTTTTTGTGTTGAACAGTGCTATATTTTAAGAATACCTGTGGGGAGGGGGGGAGGGGGTCCTGTATTAGTGATGTTTCTAGCATACTCCCACACTCTTCATCTAGTCAGTGCTTGTGTGTGTTTACCAGCTCTTCGAAGACTGCCTAAATTGTCATATACTTTCTCGTGAAGACCACTCATGCCTCCTTGTGAGTGCCAACGATTAATGTGTGGCTTCACCGGTTACCAGCAGGGCGAGCAGTAGTGACTGTGCTTTGTTTCATGAGTTATGTCGACAGGAAAAAAAAAAGGATCCGTAACAGTGGTGGTGCGAAAGCTTCAGAAAACGATTCCCAACCTTCGAGTGCCATTACTTTTCTGACGTGGTTAATAATGGAACAATGCTGAGGGTGCAGAGTTTTTCTGTTCGTTATTCGTCAATTTATTTTGACACAGTGGGACACTGTCTTTTATAGTGCATGTTGTTGCGGAGTACGGGCTTGATTCTAACAACTTTCCTTAGGCATATTGCACGCATGCACACTCACACAAACACACATGCACACACACACACACACACACACACACACACACACACACACACACACATACATACATACATACACAAGCATTACGATTTTTGGCTTTCCTAGAACAGTGAGGATTAGATGAAACATTGAATAATGAACAAAGAAATCTCGATGAAAGCTTCTGTTATCACACTGAAAAGCTGGAACCGGATACTGGTGTTACCGTAGAAAATGTGCTGATGGCGAACAACCAGTGAGCATGCCACAGCAGTGCGTCAGTAAAACTTCTGAAGAGAATTTTGCAGATGCTGGCAGCAAAGTTCGGCGGCAATATCCTGGTAAATTTGCTGGGTACGTGGTCGGATTCAGGAGGCTACCGAAGTTATCCAACTGGTGGTATTTGTTACTATTTATCACCGCCCGAGACGCTCGCTCATGTGATTGACGATCCCTTGCACTGCTTGGTGTACATCATCTTTATGCTCGGATCATGCGCGTTCTTTTCCAAGACCTGGATAGACGTGTCCGGAAGCAGTGCGAAAGATGTAAGTGACAAGTTTAGTTCTTTTTTTATGCGTTTTGTGCTGTGTAACAGCAGTACAAAACGCATATTGTTACGGGTTTGTCTGT